GAATTCAATTTTTTTAAATAGAAAAATAAATAATTCATAGAAAAATTGATTATTTTCTGATATTAAAATTTTAGAAAGAATTTTATCAAAATTTTTCAAAAGTAATTGATTTTTTTGGAAAAATGTTACTAATAATTTTGCTAATATAATACTAATAATTTTACTTTTTATGAGAATAATTAAATTCTTGCAACAAATTTTATAATAAATTTTTTGAAATCATTGAACTTTTGCGAAGAACGTAATTAAAATTTTTGATAATTTATAATTATATTTATAGTTTTTGTTATTATATTTATAATATGATTATAATAATTATAATAAATAATTCTAATAATCTATATTAATAATCGTTGTATTCCGGTAATCTGTTCGCAGTTTGAAGTTAGTTGTTGTTTGCTCTTGTTATTTCCTAACTTTTTTTTATAATTTTTCTTTTCAAATATTTTCAATTTTAAAATTTTAAAATCAATGTATTAAAAATCATTGCATTCTTGCAAAAGAATGTTGTCAAAAAAATTTTTTAAATAATGGAGTTTCTTTAATAATTTTAATTGAAAATTTTGAAAGTTATTTAATTTTATGAACAATTTCTTTCAAGTTTTTAAAATAATTGTGTTTCTTAATATAATTAAACATTAAAAATTAAACATTATTGAATTTTATTAAAATTTTTTAATAATAATTAAATTGTTCTTTAAATTTTATTGACATTTTTTTAGAATAATTTAATTAATTCAAGGAATTTTATTAAAATATAGAAAATAATTAAATTTTTTCAAAGAATAGATACTTTTGAAGATTTTTATTAGAGTTTTTGTAAATAATTAAATTCTTTTGAAGAATTTCTTTGTGTTTTTATTAATAATGCAGTTTTTTGAATTTTTTTTTTTTTGAATTTTTTATTTTTAATTTAATTTTTAATTTTTTTTATTTAATTAAAATTTTTTTTTTTTAATTTAAAATTTAATTTTAATTGAAAAGTTTGAAAATAATTGAATTAAACAAAAAATTTTTTCAACTTTTTAAAATAATTTTCAAAATAATTTTCAAAATAATTTTTACGATGAATTTTACTTCGAAAGGATTTGTGGACAAGAATTTATTTCAAATTTTTGAAAATAATTAAAATTCTGTAAAAAATATTCAATTAGGTATTTATGAAAAAAATTGAATTCTTGACAAGAATTTTGTTTCAAATTTTTGAAAATAATTAAAATCCTCCGAAAAATTTAATCATTTATGAAAACCATTTGAATTCTTGACTAGAATTTGTTTCAAAATTTTTTAATATAATTGAAATCTATTGAAAAACTTTATTATTTATTATAAAATAATTGAAATCTTGCAAATATTTTTATTAAAATTTTTGAAAAATCATGCAATTGTTTCAAAGAAAATTTAAATTCCTTGTAAGGAATTTAGTTAGAATTGTACTGAAAATAATTGAATTTTTGCAAAAAACTTTATTATTTCATAAAAATAACTGAATTCTTCCGAAGAATATTATTATTCATGAAAATAAATGAATTTTTAAAATTTTAATTATGAAATTAAATTCAAAAGTTTATATTTGAAAATAAAAATTTTTGTAATTTTCATAATAATAATAATAATAATAATAATAATAATAATAATAATAATAATAATAATAATAATAATAATAATAATAATAATAAATTGAATCCTAAATAATGTTATAAAATTATTATCGGATTGGACGTAAAACTAACAAATATTTAAATAATAAATTTTTTAATGATTATAATAAACTTTAGAGTTTATTATTTTGTTTAATTAAAACATGTGACATTCACCTCGGGGCGAAGGTATTTAATTCGAAAACAAATTGATAACTTGTTCGCTATTTGAATAATTCTGGAGAGAAAATGAAATTGAAATTAATTATATTCCAATTGGTCCATAAAGTCCTCGTTTTCTATGTATATAGTATATATAGGTGTGTCTGTTCTTTTTTGCGTGATTTATCTTTGCCAGATTCGTGTGAGATCGGGATCGAGCCTCTCTCTTGGTGGAGAGCACTTGCTAGGAGGAAATTGCCGTCAGGAACTCGAGCTACTTCCGGCACTCGTTCCACGAGTTGGTAGGGCGTTATCAGGTTCCTGGCGATAATCTTGGCGACTCCGGAGCCAGGAACAGTGATTTGTGGTCGCGTATTTCTTGATTTCCAAGTACCTACCATCCATGCCTATTACGGTCTTACTCATTTGTCTCCTAGAAATTAGTATGTCTCCTCTCCTAATAATTCAAGGCGTATAGACCAATTTCATAGCTTACTTTATTTTATATATGTGTGTTTCATCACTTTTGAGATTATTTTCTGATTTATATTTATTGTAACGCAGATTTTATATTGATATTTATGCCCAAGTTTCGTGTTCTTATCTACTAAAAACCTACTGTTTACTACTTTTTTTTACGATGTCATATTATTTGGATTCTTTTATTAGATAATTTTGACATCAAATTCTATTTTTTCTGTCTAATCGAGAATTTTTTTGTTTCAAGATAGTTAAATTCACCTAAAAGTTAAGAAAAAAATAATTAAATCTACTAATAGATAAAATTAAAAGAATCATTCTCAAAGATTTTAATAAATTTTAAGAAAACAAAGAACATAATAAAATTAAATAATTAAAAAAAAAATTATTGTTAGAATTCAATTAGTTTTGTGTACAATAATGAATTTCTTCGTTGAAATTAAATTATTTTCATTATTTGCCATTTTAATAACATTTTTCAAAGCAATTCAATTATTTTTAAAAAGTTCGAATAATATTTTTTCTTAAAAATTCAATTATTTTCGTAAATGACAAAATTTTTACTAAAATTTAATTATTTAAAATCATAATTTTCGAAGTAAAAATTTAAAAAGAAATCAATTTTCAAATAGATACAATTATTTAAAGTTCTTTCATAAAATTCTTTTTGAAACAAATCAATAACTTTGAAAGCTTTAATAAAATTTTTTATTAAATTATTAGAAAAAATGTAAACATTTTCATTAAAAACAAAATTTATCACAAAAATTCATAATTTCAGAAATTCAGAATCAAATAAGAATTTTATAAACATTGTTTTAAATCAATAATTTTTTCGAAATATTATGAAAATTTTATTTTAAATAATTGAATTCTTGTGGAAAACATTATATGTAAAAATAATGGAATTTTTCGATTAATTAATGTATGAAAAATAATTGAAATTCTTCGATGAGTTTTATTACTTTTTATGAAAATAATTGAATTTTGCAAAGAATTTTATTAAAATGCCTTAAATAATTGAATATTCAAGAATAATTTCGTTATGTATCTACATAATTGAATTCTTCAGAGAAATTATTCATGTAAATAATTGAATTCTTGGGAAGAAGTTTATTAAAATCAAAAAGAATAAGTGAATTATTTCAAAAAAATTTAATTAAAATTATATTTAAAATAATTAATTTCTTTCGAAAAATTTTGAAAATAATTGAATTCCTGTGAAGAATTCTAATATTTATCTAAATAATTTAATTCTTCCAAACAATTTTAATAAAACATATTTCAAATAATTGATTCTTTCGAGGAATTGAAATTAAATTTGTAATAATAATTAAATTTTTGGAGAAATTGATATAAAATTGTATTAAAAATAATTGAAATCCTACGATGAATTTTATTATCTATAAAAATAATTGAATAGTTGCTAGGAATGTTATTAAAAATTTCAAAAATAATTAAACTCCTGAGAAAAATTTTATTAAATATGAAGATAATTGAATTATTGCGAAAAAATTTATTAAAACATTTTAAAAAAATTGAATTTCTGTGAAAAATTTTGTTATTTTTAAAAATAATTGAATTCTTTATAAGAATTTTATAAACGTTGTTTTAAATAATTAATTATTTCGAAATATAATAAATATTATTAAATTTTTGTTTTAAATAATTGAATTCGTGGGAAGAATTTTATTAAAATCTAAAAGAATAATTGAATTATTTCAAAAAATTTAATTAAAATTGTATTTAAAATAATTGATTTCTTTCGAACAATTTTATTAAAATACTTGAAAATAATTGAATTCCTGTGAATAATTCTAATACTTTTGTAAATAATTGAGTTCTTCCAAAGAATATAAAGAAAACAATTTTGTTTTTAAATAATTGATTTTTTCGAGTAATTGAAATTAAATTTTTAAGAATAATAACATTTTTTTAGAAATTCCTGTAAAATTGTATTAAAAATAATTGAAATTCTGCGATGAATTTTATTTATAAAAATAATTGAATTATTGCGAAAAATATTATTAAATTGTTTAAAAATAATTGAATTCCTGAGAAGAATTTTATTATTTATGAAAATAATTGAATTCTTGCTTAGAATTTTAACAAAAATTTTTTAAAAAAATTTAATTTTCCTGAAAAATGTTATTATTAGTGAAAGTATTTAAAATATTGTAAAGAATTATATAAAAATTTTGGTAAATAAATGAATTTTTCTAAATTTTTTTGAAAATGCTATTCTAAAATCTAAATTAATTGAATTTCTGTGAAGATTTTTATTATTTATGAAAATAATTGAATTTTGGATGAATTTTATAATTTTTTTTTTAATAATTGAATTCTTTTGCAAAATTTTATGAAAATATTATAGATATTGAAAATAATTGAATATCGAATATTTTTTGAAAATAATGTAATCGTCTTAATTGAATTTGATAATTAAGTCGGAGAGAAAAATATTTTTTTCTACGTAAAAGCATTAAAAGTCGAGATGAAAATAAGAGGAAAAAAATTAATGGTGAATGATGAGATTTGAGTAATGTTTCGTATATAGGAGAGAGTGAGCTTGATTTTAATTCGCTTTACAACACAGGATGATGTGTGTTTTGTGTAATATTTAAATTTCAAAAAGTGACGTTGGGTGGTTGTCAAGTAACTATACACGCTCGAATTTTATATTCATGAAACTTTTTCGCAGTTGCAGTAAAAAATTACCTGAATTTGACAAACGACTTCACCGTAAGGCCAGCAACCATATATAGCCGGAAGGAAGCCGAATGGAGTCACCAGAAGTCCAATGGCAAGATCGTTACTCGCGAGACTAGTTAACAGATATCTTGGCTGAAAGGAACAATACATATTTTTCATTATATTTACATATATGCGCACACATGGAGGGTTGAATTTCAACTCTCGTTTTTATTTTCCTTCGCCATCGAAACAATTTAAAAAAAATTTAATTATTCATGAAAAAAAATTGAATTTCTTTAAAAAAATGTTATTATTTATGAAAATAATTATATTACGATTTTCAAAAATTTCAAACTCAAACCTTTTTGAAATTCAATAACTTATAAAAATATTACATAAAGATAATTTACATGTTGACGAAAAATTTAAAAAAATTTTGGAAATAATTGAATTTTGGAGAAGAATTTTCTTATTTATTAAAATAATTACATTTTTGAGTATAGATTTTTAATAACATTTTTGAAAATAATTAAATTTTTCAGAAGAATTTTTCTATTTACGAAAATAATTAAATTTTTACAAAGAAAGTTATTAAAATTTTTGAAAATAATTGAATTTCTACGAAGAAATTTGTTATTTATGAAAATTTTGAATTTTGCCAAAAAAATTATCATAATTTTTAGAAATAATTGAATTTTGCCAAGAAAATGATTAGAATTTTCAAAAATAATTGAATTTTTACAGAGAATTTTTCTATTTTTGAAAATAATTAAGTTTTTGCGGAGATTTTTAAAAACATTTTTGAACATAATTCAATTTTTAAGATGAATTTTTCTATCTATGAAAATAATTGAATTTTGACAAGAATATTATTAGAATTCTTGTAAATAATTGAATTTTGACAAGAAAACTATTAGAATTTTTAAAAAAAATTAAGTTTTTGACAAGAAAATTATTAGAATTTTTGTAAATAATTGAATTTTGTCAAGAAAACTATTAGAATTTTCGAAAATAATTAAGTTTTTGAGTATTGATTTTTAATAACATTTTTGAAAATAATTCAATTTTTAAGAAGAATTTTTCTTTTTATGAAAATAATTGAATTTAGCCAATAAAATTATTAGAATATACTTTCGGCAAAAGAAATACGTATTTTTTTTCTTATATTTATAGACTGCTAAAAATGCTAAAAAAAAAGTGCTCTGAATGTAGTTTCAAAGTCAAAAGGTCTCTATCAAAAAGAAAAAAAGAATATATAAAAAAAAACTATCTTTGAAATTTACAAAAGGAAAATGTGTAAAAATCGTTAATAAATCAAAAAATTAGGAAAAAAATATTAAAAAATACCAATTTTCAATAAATTTGGGGTATTTAACTATTGCTATACTGTATAGTAACGATTGCTATACTGCATAGTAACTATTGTCATACCGTATAGTAATGATTGTCATACTGTATAGCAACGATTGCTATACTGTATAGTAATGATTGCCATAGTGTATAGCAATCATTGACATACTGTATAGTAACGATTGCTATATTAGATAGTAATGATTGCCATACTGTATAGTAATGATTGACATACTGTATAGTAACGATTGCTATACAGTATAGTAATGATTGCCATACAGTATGGCAATGATTGCTATACAGTATGACAATCGTTACTGTACAGTATAGCAATGATTCCTATACTGTATAGCAATCGTTACTACACAGTATGGCAATCATTACAAAACAGTATATCAATTGTTACTATACAGTAGGGCAATCGTTACTATACAGTATAGCAATCGTTAAATACCCCAAATTTATTGAAAATTTGTATCTTTTAATATTTTTTTCCTAATTTTTTGATTTATTAACGATTTTCACACATTTTCCTTTTGCGTAGCAACTTTGTAAATAAATAAGTTAATAAAAAAAATAAAAGAATCGAAAATTACTTTACCTGAGCGTGAATGTATTTATTATAGCGACGACTGTTGATGACACAAATGACGACAAGGTTGGCGAATAGAATTCCAATGCTAAGAAGAAGAATCAAGGCCGCGCGAATTAGCTCTCCAGGTCCTGGACCAGTCCAGGACATCTGGGAGGAACCGGGCCGCCAACAACTGCTGTTGCTGAGTGCCGGCGCCACCAAGATTGTCTGCTTGTGTTCGAACATTCTCTCTCTCTCTCCCTCTCTCTCTCTCTCTCTCTCGATTATTCTTCCAGATAAGTCATCCAAACGATTCGCTAAGAGAGCTTAAACGCGCGAGACTCTCTATCCTTCTTAATAAAAATTCTCTTCCGCTGGTAGCAAGGTACATTCATGTTCTCCTTCTTTTTTTTTGCTCTAGTGGGATGCTTCTTTAAAGGCCCCTAGAGCACCCCCTTTTTTTCAGGGATCTTCAATTTCTAGATTTATCAGCTTCGTCTCTCCTCACTTATTGTCTTCAGTCTAAATATTCCTTTGCAAAACTTTTTGCACAATTCTTCACCCTCATTGAACATTCTGTATATCAAATGATTGCTTTTATACAGAGTTGAGCAGAATCAATGTCTGAAAAAACAAAATTTATTTATGTAGAAAAACTAAATTTTATATTTATATAAAAATCTTTTTATTTATTTATCAATATTTATTTTTATTTTTCGTTTCAGAGACGTTTTCTGTCAACAGTAAAGTTTGTTCTTTTAATAATTGAGAGACATAAGTTTCAAAAGACTTTTCTTAGGTTCCAAGAGGAAATAATTTTAAATAAATACTAGGAGGAAAATCCGCTTACAATGAAAGGATTCTTTTAAAGTTAAATAGATTGTTTCTTCACTCTATTGAGTAAAAAATGGACTTTTAATTTTTAAAAGGGGGATTCAGTTAAAAAAAAAGAAAAAAAAATACTTTTTGCAACTGAAACAGAAGTTTCAATAACAAAATAAATTTTTCCTACTGAAATGCAAATAGAAATTGCAATAAATTTAAATGAATTGTCTGACCAAAATGTTCTTTACTACTTATTTCTAAATAAAATTACGATTTTAGCAAAATTTGTCTGACAAAAATATTTTTTACTACTGAAATCTATATTCCATTATTATTTAATTTATTTTCTTTCAAACTCCTAACTAAAACATAAGTTGAAAGCATTTTGTTTGACTAAAAATAAATTAAATAAATTTTAAAAGAAATACAAATAAAATCCCAATAAATATAAAAAAAATAATTGTCTGACCACAAATTACTTTTAATACTGAGTCAAAAGTAATGAGATTAATTATACATATGTGTCTGACCAAATTTGTTCTTTACTGATTTTTCTAAATTAATATGATTTTAACAAATTTTGTCTGACTGAGAATATATTTCACTACTTATGTGATAAAATAAGTAATAAAACAAATTTTTAGTCAGACATATAATGAAAAATAGGTTTGAAATTTGAAATTAAGTAGTACAACATCGTTTTAGTCAGACAGTACGATTAAATTTTTATAATTTTATTATTAGCAGAATTGTCTGACCAAACTTGTTCTTTACTACTTGTCTCTGAATAAGACTTTAGCCAATTTGTCTGACCAAACTTGTTTTTAACTACTTATATCTAAAGAAATATGAAAAAAAGTCTATTTTTTAAATAAGTAAAATATTTTCAAGTAAGAAATAAATCCTTTTCCATGGTCTACAATTTTTTTTTAATTTTGAATCAAAATTTGCGTCCAAACACTCCTTTAGTTTTAAAATTCCATGATTTTTACTAAACCTAAAGTAAAAATTAGTAGAAATTTACTTCGGACTAGGTAAAATTTTCTCTAAATTATTAAAATTTATTATTAAAAATTATTTCCAGAATAAATTTTACTACTTTCAAAGAAAATTTCTTTTGTAAAAATCAAAAAAAATCTACCTCAGAAGTAGTCAAATTTACTCTGTACATAATAATTTTTAATTACAAATTGTACGAAGCTAAAAATTATCTTAGACTTAAATTAAAAAAATTACAGGTATTTCTTCCAAAAATTAATCTTAAATTCTTTAATATTCATTCTGTTTTAAATTTTTAATTGTGTAGCAAATAATAAATCAAGGGGAATACTGAGAGACAGCAGTAATGATAGATAATTAAATCTGGTTTTTATTTTTCAAACACAAGGGACGACTTACTCAGACAATTGTAATTAAATTCTTTATGTAAGTTCATTTAGATATTTTAAAAAGAGCAGGCTTCACAAAAGCTTTTGTTAAAGTAACTAATTTTTGTATACAATCCAATTTAAATTATCTCTTATTCTTGAAAACTACGATTTTATGACAATAATTTGTTATTATATGTGAATCACATTGTAAACTCTTCGTAAACTCTTTATTAAATCATTTAAATGTAAATTAAGAATTAGAATTATGTCTGACTAAAACTTAATTTTACTACTGAAATAGTAAAAATAATTGCAGTAGAGCAGATATTTGCAATAAATGTCAAAGAAAATTGTCTGACCACAAATTACTTTTACTACTAATTCGAAAGTAATGAGATTAATTATAAATATGTCTGACTAAAATTGTTCTTTACTACTTAATTCTAATTAAATACGATTTTAGCAAAATTTGTCTGACTAAAAATATATTTTACCACTGAAACCAATATTGCAATATTACTTAATTTATTTCCTTTTATTTCAACTCGCAACTAAAAACCCAAGTTGAAAGTATTTTGTCTGAATAACAATAAATTTTACTACTGAAATACAAATAAAATTACAAGCCATATAAAATAATTGTCTGACCACAAATTATTTTTACTACTGATTCGAAAGTAATGAGAATAATTACATTTGTCTGACCAAAATTGTTCTTTACTACTTATTTTGAAATAAACAGGATTTTAACATATTTGTCTGACTAAAAATGTCTTCTACTACCGGAACAAATCGTATATGTAATTAAAAAGGGACAAGAATTTGTAAAATCTTATCTGACCAGGAAAATTTTTTACTACTTATATGATAAAATAAATAAAAAAAAACAAATTTTGTTTAGATATAATGAGAAATAGGTTTGAGATTAGAAATTAAGTAGTACAACACAGTTTTAGTCAGACAGTACGATTGAATTTTTTACTTGAATTATTAGCACAATTGTCTGACTACAAATTACTTTTACTACTGACTCGAAAGTTTTGACATACACTGTAAAAAGAAAGGTACTCATTTAGTACCAACTTTGGTACTAAATCGTAATTTGGTTCTATTTTAATACCGAAATCAGCTCTAATTTAGAACCTTTTTTTTATAATCTATAAAAATGTACATTTGTCTGACTAAAAATGTTCTATACTACTTATTTCTAAGTAAATAGGAAAATTAGAAAATTAGTCTAATTAAAAATATTTTGTTCTACTAAAACTTATTTTACGTTTTTTCTCTATATTTTTTGTTTTATTATTCTTTTCTAAAAAGAAAATAAACATTCGTCACTAAAACACAAGTTGAAAGCACTTTGTCTGTCTAAAAATATATTTTACTACTCAAATAGTAAAAAAATTGCAATAGTATAAAAATTTTTCTTAACTGTATAAAAATTGTCTGGCTATAAATTACTCTCACTACCAATTCGACAGTTACGACTCAAAATTCAAGTTTCAAATAAATTTGTATGACGAAAATTATTTTTTACTACTTTCTAGATAAATACAATTTTACCAAAATTTGTCTGACTAAAAATATCCTCTACTACTGAAATCGATATCGCAAGAAGTAAAAACCATTTGCCCTAATACTTTAAATCACTTTTACTACATACTGATATCAAAGTTACAAAGAGAGATTAAATTCATTTGTCTGATCAAAATGCTCTTTTACTACTTATTTTTGATTACAGGAGAGTATTTTGGCTGACAAACAATATTTCTTACTACTATTTTGAAAATCTTAACAAATGTTTTCTCTACTTATATCTCTTAGTTTTACTACTCGAGTAAAAGTTACAAAAATTTTAATCGTTTAGTCTGATAGAAACGGTCTTTTACTACTTATTAGATTACAAAAAATTTAACAGCTTTGGCTCACATAAAATCCTGTTTACCACTCATTAAAAAAAAATCGTAAACGCAAAAAAACGCTCTGTATTAATAAAACCATAAATTATTATTTACAGATTTTAAAACAGTTTTATGTCCTTACAAAAATTTTTTTCAAATAAGAAAATATTTTTTTTCAAATAATAAAAATATGATTTTCAAATATAGTAAATATGTTTTTTGCAAATAACAAAAATATTTTTTTCAAACAATAAAATAATTAATCAATAATATTATTTTAGTACCGAATATTTAATATTTTTTTTCAAATAGTAAAAATATTTTTTTCTCTCAACAACAATAATCGGCTGAAATCAAAATCACGATTGCTATTATTTTTTTCCATTTGTCCAGTCAGATTTTTATTCATTTATCACGTATGAAATTAAACGTAAATTGACCTAAATTTATGTGATTAATCGCTTTATTATTATTATATATTCACCTAATTAGAAACTCTTGACCTCCAACAAATATTTTGAGCTGATTTGCTCGAGATGAATCAGCAGAGATTAATTGAACGTGAATATTAAATTCGTGCATCATTTTTACTTTGAAAAAATTCGCTTTTAAGAAAAAAAAATTCTCTTTTGAAAAAAATCCCCTAATTGAAAAAAATTCTCTTTTGAAAAAATTGTCAGTGGGAAATGAACTTTTTTGTGAACTATAAATATGTGTATGGATTAATAATAGAGGCGAAGAATAATAATGTGATAAAAAGGGAGCAAAATGTGTAGCCGACTTTGATGAAGGGTGACAAGGGGAAGGGATTAAGTTCGAATGACTTTATTATGTCAGAAACTGAGGTTCAACCATTTAGCAGAGATACCGGATGCATTTAGATGGGGAAATTAGGATTTTTCATGAATGCCGAACTGTAAGAATAGTAGAGACGGATAATGGTCGGGGAATGCAAGATACTTTTGCAGTATATATAAGCGAAGGGGAAAGGGAGGGAGGCCTACAAGGATCGTTAGACGCAATGAATCTGAGAATTTTTTTTTCCTTTTTCATTTTCTATTCCTCGTTAGGTATATCGTATCAGTCTACGATTCATTTAATTCCCTTTTATCTAAATGTTTCGAAGCATTCTTTTCGAGAACATCAGTAATCGAAAAAATCTATTTTTCAGTCAATTAGTTTTCAATATCTCTAAAAACAAATGCTTCTTCGATATTGGTTTATTAATTTTAGATTCGAAAATTTAAAAATCCACTTATTATAAGTACATAATTAATTATGATTGTTTATTATTTGCAAAATATTAATAAAATTCCTTGCAAAGAACTAAATTATTTTCATACAAATAATATTCTTCGGAAAAATTCAATTATTTTTTATAAATAGTAAAATTCTTTGCAAAAATTCAATTATTTTCAATATCAGTACAATTTTAATAAATAATTTCACAAAAGAATTCAATTACTTTTTTTTTAAATTTTTAATAAAATTCTTTGTAAGAAATCAACTATTTTCTACAATATTAATA